CACCCTACCATATGTAGTTTTTGAGACAACTTTTAGGGTGTCAGTATACAATATTTACAGACTTACAGCTAGGTGTCTCGACTTCCGAGGTGAACTTACTATAATGATTGGACTACCAGCAAAGTTAGAAGGAAGGTCTAACGCAAGTGATATTGTACACGGGCCGGAAAGAGAAACAGACCGGATGTATATTTGACCGGAAACAGGAACAGGTCACCGACCGGAAGTGGAATTACGGTACCACATTTACGGTCCGAAAACCCAACTGGAGACCATAAACCGGAAACGGATGTATATTTGACCGGAAGCGGAACATTTCCTTGACCGGAAGTGTAATTGTGAAATCACACTTTTGGTCCCGGACCTGTTCCTGTTTCTGGTTCGTGATCATAGCCCGCATCCGTGTTCCCAATTTGGCCCCTTTGCGTATGCAACGCCCCACACAAATTTTTGTGCATTCGCCGCCGCTGCAGAAAAATTGCATGCAATTTGGTGTCAAAATCTCACATTTCTACCAGGCGACCAGGAGCATGTAGCAAGCTGCCACCGAATACAGAAATGTTTATAACTTCTAAACTACTGGTCGTAGGGAAAAATAAAAATGCAGAAATTTGCAGAATCGCATGGGGCATATTTTTATTAAGGAAAAAATTGGTTTGGATTTACCCAGAAATTTAAAAAATTAAAAATGTGTCCCAAGTCGCCGGTTTTTGAGGAGAAAATCGTCAAAATGATTTTTATCCTAAGTGAGGGTGTTGAAATGTAGTGTGAAAGGATTTCCGAGTATGTCTCTATTTATTTCGAGTTCAACAGCACACAAGGCCAAACTATTACCAATAAAGATTATCTTAGAATTTCAACAATAAAACTAAATGTATTTCCTATTTCTTCGTTAATAAATCAGTTTTAGCCACATTTTCGGTTTAGATGATTTTTGGAATTCTTTCCACAGGTTTTCCCATAGTTTGTTTTTTCTTGGTTAATGTAAAATGAACTGATCAAACTGAAAATGGCATTATTTGAGCAGCAGACTTGGTTGGCAATTAAGAAAAATGGTTCTGATATAGGCTAGATATTTATTGCATTGCTAATAAATTTGAAGTATATATTCCGTTATATGGGTATTGAGAACTGCGGCATGGTGTGGTGAAAAGCAATATTTGCCTAGTGTTGAACAGCAAATTTAAAAAAAAAATTTGTATGGTGGTATAGACAAATTAAAAATTTTGAACGCGGATATTCCTCATACTCCATGAACTCTCACTCGCTCACCTTAAAGCCTCCACAGTACCTTAAAAATCTCTTGTGCCAGCAAACTCATCGTGTCTTCTCACTAGCATTAAGCTTTTCACTCAAATTCTCTAAATGTGCGCTTCAAGCCAGACTAGTGCAGCTCCAAATGCAACTGCGTCTGCGCAAATCTAATGCTGAGGCGATTTTCTCTAGCTCCCAGCATGCAGCATTCATTGAACAATACACTAGTATTATCGACAATTTTATCATCCTGGAGTCCAAATGCCTTTGCATCAATGCATACATATTTGGCATTTCACATTTTCACAACAACAGCAAAGCAACTTTCCACATACACTTTTTCCATTTACAAGGCATACAAGGCATTGTTCATTCATTTTTGCTTTTTGTTTTAATTTTACTCAGCTCGTAGCTCGCTTTTATACGCCTTCAAGTCTGTTTAGAAAGTTACGTGTGCGCATAAGTATGTTGTTGGTTAATAACTTCATCGAGTGTGAATGAAATGCAATTTCCTTTTTCTGTAAACGAAAGGAATTAGACCAGATGGCACCGATGAATATTTCATTATGTCATTCGATTTAACAATTTTTCGTTGGATTCTAAATGATTGTTGTGGGTCATCAGTTATTTCTCAGTTCAATTTAATTCGCTCAAAAACATAATAACTGCTGAAATATTCCTTAATTTTATCATTCTTATCCACAATAGAAAAAAAATCCTTTTGGGTGTCACACACATTGTGGCAAATTTGATGCTATTTTAAATATTATATGCATTTTTATTATAGCGAACTTAATAAACAAATTTATATTTTTGAAAAATCTCTTTTATTCTGTATTCTTGCTGATACATAACTATGTTTATTTTTAAGGATATATTAAACTTTTTTCCTAACTTAACGACTATTTACAAGTACATAACATAACACATAGTAGACAGAGATCTCTTAACAAAAAGTTTGCTCTTAATATGGTATTGAGTGATCCATTTTGAATTTCTCTACTTTTTTAAGGAAAAACGCAGAAGCTTTTTCAACGGTCGTCTTTGAGGGTTACGTTCTCACTGGCCCACAAACCACACCAAACCGTTGTTTTTTCTGGATGAAATGGCAGCTCTTGAATCTCTTTGATTTCTCTTCGTCACAAATGCGGCAATTTTGCTTGTTTGCATACAGATTGAGTCGGAAATGGGCCTCATCGCGGAATATAATTTGGTTCGAAAACGTCGGGTCTTCTTGGAACTTTCCAAGACCCCATAAAGCGAAGCGATGTCCTTTGGAATGGTTGAGCGGCCTTAATTCTTACACAAGCTATATTTTGGATGCTTTCAATTTAAGATCTCGACGTAAAATGCACCATGCATCAGTACGATTTGCTACGAACGGTACCGAATCGACTCTCCACTATATTTTCTTTACTGCGTGATGGCGGGGTTTATTTGGGCGAATATTAACTAATCATGAACGGTTGGTCTCAAGATGGGTGACGGTGTTGCGAATAATACGCACAGTTGGGCTATTGTACCGATCATAAGTTCATTGAAGCGTTGTTTTGTCATAATTCTTTCCGTGATGAAATCCCAAACAGTACTGAACGAAAATAACATGACAGCTTGACACAACTCACACGTGATCTGTCATAAAAAAAATTATTGAAAAAAATACCTCTACTTGGATCAGCAGTTATATACAACAAAGTGTCAAAAAACAATCAAATTTACTGTTTTAGTCATTGTATTTTCCTCTTTATTTTATTTTATAAAACTTGCTATTAACAATTATTTATAATATTTGCCTTAAAAATTTATTAGTTTAAAAAAAGCTTTTGTACATTATTTTTAGCACGCTTACCTTAGTGTGCTAAGCAAAATAACTACCTCTATGCTTTCTCATTGTACTACATTTATTGCATCTATGCTCAAAGTGGATTCAGATTGCGCTAATTTTATTACAAATATTATTTGCACACCTAAATAGCCTGTAGCTTTACCGATATCTGCTTATTTTTATAAATTTGTTTTCAGAAATAGATTACTACATAGTCTTATTTTTTTGCAAACTAGCTGTCGCCATACCGACATAAAAACGCAGAGCGTCCTTTTCGATATTAAGTCGAAAAAAATCGAATAAATAAATATATTAAAAAAAACATGCAAAAAAAAAAAAATATATATATATATATCTTTCAAAAAATATAAACCGATAAACTTGCTTATTTGAATATTTCACATCAATTTTAAGGTTATGTACATAAGTTGTAAATAAAAAAATTCAAACACCACTCTACAATTCTTCTTCCTGTACTCAGATCGCCCGTAAATGACTGTGTTAATTTTTTCCTTTTTAAATCGGTTTTAGAAACCACGCCAAGTTACTACTGAGAGGTTACAACCCAGCAAGGTTTAGAGATACCATTAACCCCTCCTAAACAATTTTTTTTTCCTTGTCGGGCTTTATACGGTGAACTGCTGAAGAAACACTTGTCCAACATGGGCTGTACCCTACGTCGTCAATCTGAAAAGGTGTGCAAAGAGATTTCGAATAAGGTCAAATACTCAAAAAAAAAATTACTTTGAATGTCGTTAAGCATTTACCTACGTAATTTTAAAACTATTTTCAATATTTCACGCAGAGAAAAAATCTGAAAAACTTCAACAGAAATATAACGCAGAGTTAACACTATCTCCCGAGGAGACCCAAAAACAGAGTTCCACTGACATTCTTCGTGAAATTCAAGATGAATATAACGGCCAACTATTCACGAAAATAATTTCCCGGTGTTTGGTCGTCTCTGGACTTCGCGGCAGGGCAGCACGCAGGAACCCACTTCTGACCAAAATTCGTAGAAGTGACGCGTAGACTTTGTCCACTCTTATTGGTCTAAGACAACAAATCAAGGGAAGTATGTCGTTAGGAACGATAGAACAAAATTAATGAAAATTTGCATTTTGTAAGGAAGATAACAATTCAAAGCATGCGTTGACACAAAAGTTTTTTTTTTTTTTATGAAAATTCTATCGATGTTTTGAAGCTGGAATCGTCCAGCCTAAACTTAAACCCTATGGAACATCTCTGGGTGATATTAAAAGAGCCATATGCACCAGAAATATCCCTAATATGGATGTTCTTTGTGATGAAATTAGAATAGAATGGAAGGCTACACCGTTGGTGCGCTGTCAGAGTCTTATATATAATGTAAATTTGGAATCGATGTGAAGCAATATTAAAGTAAAAGGGATAACCAACAAATTACTAACTGAAAATAAGCAAGTTTTTGTAAATCATTATTTTTTGCTTATAAAATCTTTTCGTTTCTAATTAGTTGTCGCACTGAAATCGTTAATTACACATGTTTTTGTTAAAATCTTCAGAACAAAAACAAATTTTTACTATTAGAACTTAAGTTTAACATAGGTTTTAATAAAATTAAGGATAATACAATAAATATACGTGATTTATTGTAAAATAAAACCATTTATTTCAAAATGGGTGTAGTTTCTAATTAGCTGTCAACAGCTGTATATACATCTCATACTCATTTGTATTATGAAGTATTGGACTATTTAAATGCATATCTACGTGTATATTCCTGTACATGCTATATACCATTATAAATAAGAGTATTAAAAATGTTTTGAATATGGTTATGAGCTTTATAGCCTTTTTAGTGGTTTTTAGGATGCCTTAAATTTTGAATTTTATATATATATATATTTATTTTTTGTTTTTCTATTTCAATGCCGCAACATCATGAGACTGAACCATAACAAATTTCTCTTTGCAAAATAGTTTGATATTCGATATTCACGACGGAGTGTGTTCGGCAGGTTGCTTCCGGTATTGGCTGCGTCCTGTTTGTTATCTTTGTTGGTATATAGTGTTGTGACAATTTTGACGAAGATGTGGAGCACTGCAACAGCCATCTAACGGAGAATATGCCAAGAAGCAAGAGAATGCAGCAGCGATTCCGTAACTGTGTGGCGGCGCTTTTTTGCATAGCCGCGGGCGTTTCAGCTGAAAGAAAAGATATAGATTTAAGGACATATTATAAGTAGTAATTTTTTTTTTTTTATTTTTATTTTTTTTTTTTTGTTTAAATATTTTAATAGTTATTTTAGCAATTTCATGATATTTTCACATTAAACTGTATTTCTTTTACAACAAAACTTACCATTGATAACATTCACCATCACACTGGCAGCCTCGGCTGTGGTCGGCATACATGTGTAATTGCCCGAGTCGGCGGTTTGTGCATTCGCTATGCGCAACCTGCAATTAACAGAGAGAATACAGAAATGCTAAATTTAACAGTATATATTGTATATCGAGATTTCAGCATAGATAACTAAAGTTTTATATGAACGTATTTTGACGCGACTGCATTCAAGCGGAATCGATATTTACATATTTCGTACCGAATTTGACATTGGTATGTATTGTCAATGGATGAAATGATGAAATGAACTAGATGTAAGCATACGATATTGCTAATCGCCTTTTAACTTTCTAGCCTTTCATTTAGAGATATCACACTTAGCTTCAGGGAAACACCGTTATATGTGAAATGAGTAAAGTTTGCGATTTTCACACATTGAGCTTAAATAATGGAAACTATTAACCAAACCTCCTACTTAGATTTTTCTTACCCGATCTCCCAAGTCTTTTCATTGAAGACGTTTTCCCCAGCGCACAAACCCGAGAAAGCATGTTTCGCCTACACTCGCTTTGAAACGAATATCTTTTTGCGCTCAGCGGATAACGGTCCTAAGACCGGAAGTCGTGAGTTGTTCACACCATACGTTTTCAATCACTCCCAAGTGAATGCCGCTCAAAGCACTTTCCTCACGTGCGTGAACTTCTACACATGGTTCTATCCTTTTTTAGTTCTGCTTTCTCCAGATTGGACAAAGAAGTGAAGCAAATAGGTCTGGTAGTGAAAGAGAGATTTTAGGGAATGATCTTAGTTTGCGGGCTTAGAAAATCCAACTCACTGTTTGGTGTAAGCTATGGAAATATTGGTCCATTTCTCGTATTTGAATTTGAGGATGTTGCTGTGGACGAACTTTGGTTAAATTCGACGTCTCTATATGCCATCCAGCCAATGAATCAATAAATTTATATTAAGAAACTTTTAGTGAACGCATTATCTCTCGTCGTGGGACTGTCACGTGGGTTCCAATATTTATCCGTAACATCCCTGGACTTTGTTTAGTGGGATTATAAAGTCGCTTGTCTATGCAAGTAAGTCCGATAAGATTGACGCCTTGGAAGATAATATTCCACCCGTTATTGCTGACATATGGCCTAATTGCTCCAAAAAATGGTTTTCGACCAGAATAAAAAAATATAAATATTTTATTTCTCCTTGCAAAACACCCTTTATAACTCTTAACCAAATAAATGACATTTAATCACTGTATAAAAATCAAGCTTTGCTCACACTTCACACGAAAATAGCGCTTCCACTTCAAAGGCATTCCCTGCGGTCACTATCCGCATTCATTTTAGTCGGCATCTCTTTGTCGTGGCTTAGTCAAGCGATTCGAATGCCACATCAGTTCAACTCCAACGATCAACATATTGCGTATTCGCATTCCCAACACAGTGCAGCTTAAATATATGTATACACTTTGGCACGCACAATACTGCTAACTAATTGTTGGTACAGAGAAATCTCCGGCCAACAAAATAAAATATTCTGTAAAAAAACTTTATGACAAATTATATAGAAACAAGTAAGGAAGGGATAAGTTCGGATGTCATCGAAAACTTTATACAACGGTATTAAATCGCACGATCATATAGACTCACGAAGCCGGATAACGCACTTGTCAAAAGTTTCCTTTACTAAATTGATTATTTCTTTGCTAGCATCACATGCAGCGCCGTCTTTTTGGAACCTCAGGTCGTCCTCGTCAATATTGAGTTACGAAAAAGTTATTAATCTTAGCTCTATAACGTACCCAAATGATTGTACCATTATGGCCGGCTTCAATTTGTAAAGAAATATGGACGAAGGGACTCCCTTTACCCATGTGGCAGACCAAAAAGTGACTTTTTGACTTTTCGAAGATGTATGGGCGTCTCAACAATGACTTATGAATAATCAAGTGCGACAAATTTATTTATTAACGCAACCATTCAACCACAAGTGAGTGAAAATATCCGTATCGGTGGCAATATCGTTTTTGGGCGTTCGGCTTCAACTGTTGCACAAGTTGGACTTTAAAAGACCGAAAACCAATATTCTTCCGCAAAAACCTCCATAAAGTGAATGAATAAAGCTCTAACATTAGCGTGCACTGGCGAATGAACTCATTGGAATCTCTGTTTCATAGCAGCAATAGCGTCATCAGTTCGCACTGTATGACATCTTGTAATGTGTCTTATTCACCAGTCTAAACATGTACGAAGAATTAGCATGTTTGCTTGAATTAACTACAAAAAGCGTAAAAAATGCAACAATCGGCTGACAAGGTTATTGCGTCTGTATTTTGGGATGCGCATGGATTCATTTGTCTTGATTACCTTAAAAAGGGATGAATCATCTAGAGTGACTATTACAAAGCGTTATTGGAACGTTTGAAAGACGAAATCGCTGAAAAATGGAAGCATTTGAAGAAAAAGAAAGGGCTTTGGTAGCAAGGCGATGCACCGTGTTGCAAATCAGTACAAACGATGGAAAAATCCATGAATTGGAATTCATGCATCGACAACCAACATATTCTCTATTTCTGGCCTCCAGCCACTATTTCTTGTCCTCAGACCTCAAAAGAAAGCTCTTCTGGGAGAAATTCTCGCCGAACGAAGGTGTTATAATATAAGTTGTTAAGCTCTATACTGCTTTAGCCTCTCTATACTTGTGTGGCTTTTAATAGGCCATTACCCTATTGGCGTCCATGCTGTACGGTTGGGAATCTTACTAAACGCCGTTTGGACTTGGGAGCGCATACCTTCAGACATCCCACCAAACAAGAGGGTGTGCCTATGCAAATTTGAAGGCTACTGAACGTTTTGCTAATCAATAAGTCCAAACAAAAGAGTTCATCCTTTCTTTTCTTCACAAAAGACTAAATATATTACTCCATGTGCGATCTTCGATCAGCCTAACCTAACTTTAAGCAAGGAATTTTTTTCAGTTAAAATTATAGGATTTTTTAACCTTACCGAACGTAACCTTGGTTCATTTCAAGTCCTTAATTCAATGTCTAAAATTCTTTTTGTCCCATCCTAGTATATATAATATCTATAAGCCACAAATATGTAACTAAAACTGTTGCATTTAGACGCTGCAAAAATCAAGAGGTATCTCAAACAGCGCAGAGCTTTTGATCCATAACTCGAACTGCTGAATTAAAAATAGAACTCAAATTTCATACAAATTTCCTTCATTAATTTAAAGTCTCTCTAAACACTCCAAAACTTCAAGTTTTTTTTTTCTGAACAGAATTTTTAACACCCTATACATGCAAGTATGTTCCCCACCACAACGATTTTCAGCTCCAGGATGCGCCTAAATGTACATTTACTTGTAAAGGATTGCATTTTTCCGCGGTTTTCTATTGCAACAGACAGCTATCAGTGGTAAAACGCAGTAAATCCCTTTTTTTACCTTTCACCAGTTGAATACCCTTACTTTTTCTCCCATTGGGTACCTTTTAGCGCCATTGGCTGCGTTCTACTCACCGGCTTTGCAGCTTTTCGCCCAAATTCGATTCCATTGATATGCGCCGCATATCGATGGCTGCCTCATTCGGATGCGCCACAAAGGGTGTCAGCATGTAGTTGGCGCGATACCAATAGATGGGACCAATATCCGACGCCGACGACGGTTGCTTCACATGACAGGTGAGCGTAATGGCGCTGCCCACCTTCACATAGAGATCGGATGGTCCGACAATCATTGCTTTGGCATCCGGTGGTGTCACTGCAACAAAGAACAACAATAAATAAGTAAGACATTTATTTCTGTGATATTTATAGTGATTTATTGCTTTGCTGAGAAAAGTTATTTCACGTCAGGGAATTTACGTGGTTCAAAGTAATGTTTGGTTGAAGGTAAGTTAAATTTAATTCTCAAAAGAGTGAAATTACGAAATCCAATGGACAACTTTTATAAGTGTTTATTATTTGGCAAAATTCTTATTAAAACTGTTTATGAGTTACAAACAATTTGTCTTTTATATTTCGAGATTCGAAAAGAAAAACTCATTTTAATCACTGAAAATCGCTTCACTGCTCTTCAAAATACTCTCCATTAAGGAAAAAAGGTTCGCGGTTTTATTCTACTTCCTGGCCAAAATAAATATTTCAAGCAAAACAAATATCGCTCATATGTCGAATGGTTCCAAATATGTATAACATCAAAAATATCAAACTTTGCAATAAAGATGTGAGTTGGTAGTTTGAACCCTGGGGTTGCCAGTGGGATTTCTGGTGGCACATTATTCACCAGTGTGACTAGGAGTTTTCCTGTTTGAAAATATATCTCCTTCTAAAGCCAAAGCTGGCCATTTGGGCAATGTCTTCCTTCCTGCAGGCTCCCAATTGTTCTCAGAAAAGGTCCGAAATAAGCGAAACAATGAGCACGGGTATTTGAAACCTCTGAGAATAATGAGCGAAATAAGTGCACGGCTCTTCTGCTTTATCATATTTTTGATTTTTGATTACAAAGTACTGTTTCAACTATATTTTATACGACTTATTCAGGGCGTGTCGCAGAAACACCGTTTGACAGGTAAATATTTTAATATTTGAAGTTTTCTTGTCAAGATTTCTTATAGTTCTCATTAAATGCTCCAACATATAATAAATTACAAATAATAATAATATGAAAAAGTTAAGCAAAACATCTGTCTGTAATAAAGGCTTTCTCAAACCGTTAGATGAGTAAGTTTTTTTCGCGGTTAGAGAACTTTTCCACCTGCTCACCATTTGCATGTTCTCCATCAATAATTCAACCATTAAACAAATCGTGAAATACCAGAGTGATAGCGTCAACACTTTAAGCACCATTAAACGCACTTGAACTCGTTAATGCATTTAATTGCCATGGAGAACGCTCACAGCGCCAAACAAACAGCTGCCACTTGAACTCACGCAAACCCAAAGACACACAGACAAATACAGCTAATGCAAAGCATATCATTAAAGAGCAGCAGTGGCGTGTACTAGAGATGATGACCAGCACGCTAACCGCAACCAGATACCCCGGCAGTTGCACAGGAAGGTCCCCCCGCCAACACAGGCCAGCGAGTCTTCAGTAAATATGAATGAGTAAAAGCGGTTGGCCTACAAATCAGCAACAATACTTGCAAGTGCCTGGGTGAACTGGGTTGCGGCAGGCAGAAGCAATTGTAGGTACCATCGATTAGCGCAGCATCATAACTGCAGATGTCATTACCCCCCACTTGCTTTGGCCCCCAGCGACCACACAGTCATGTAATGAAACAAGAACATATAAATAACTTAATCACAGCTGTTGTTGTAAAAGCAAGCCACTTTATCTCCACACTATGCGTTAGCCAAGCGAAAGACTGATACTGCGCCAATATGCAAGCAACGAAAAGATTAAAGCGAGCAAAATAGAAAGAAAAAAGCCAAATGAAGCAGGTGTAAGTATGTGAAAAGTTACGAAACTGGCAGAAAAGTATTCGAATTAGCAACATAGGCCCAAAATGTAAAACGTAACACTAAAGAGAAAAGAAAAAATGCTAAAAATGTGTTTAATCTTTTCTGATGTAGTTGAAGAGAGCGAAATATACTTAGACAAGGCGAGGCACAAAAACACAACCGATGCTCTACAAATTGAAATGGTTGAAAAACTTGAAGAATTTGCACAGCAAAAACTTTGTATCACTTATGTATGTATGTGTGTTTAAGTGAACTTGCATGCAGCTAAAACCTAATGACTTTGAATGAAATGACTATGAACCAACAGTGCGTATGAGTAATGTTACCACACAAGGCTCACACGCACACCCAATGCCTACACAAGCACTGCCGGCAAATACTATTCTCTGCCAGCGTGGAGAAAAAAATCTGCTTAATGCATGGAAAAAATGGACCTTTTAGGGCAGCTTCAGAAAAAAGAGAAAAAAAAAAAAAGAAATATGAGTCACTTAGTGCTTAGGCAAAATCACTTTTCACCTGCTGACGAGCTTCGGATTTGCTCATATGTGGTTGTTTGTGCGTGTGCTGCCAAGATGGCTACATTAAAGTATCAAAATACGTAAAACCAATCCGAATCAAATGGAAATGCAGAAATGTGATGTAAAAAGCGTTAAATTAGTAAAAAAAGAAAATATGCAAAATTTCACACCTAAGTGCATATTGTCACTTAAAATGCAAAACAACGTATCATCAAAAAGTTCGAAATTGAGTTGTTTATTGTTTTCGATGCACTACAGTATATTACATTTATGCACATATCTTAAACTTTTAAGTTTCCACTGTCCACTATATCGAATATATCCAATATATAAACATTTTATAATGAAAACATATATTTTGTTTGAATATGAGTGGTCTATTAAATCGTTTTTCCCTCGCTTGTAAACTTATTAAAAGTGATGTTATGTTATTTTGCATTTTAGGTGACGATGCGTATGTTTTTAAGACCAAAAAATTGAGTTACAGTTCTCAAAAAAATTGATCGCTAAATCCAAAACCAGAAAAAATCGTAAGTTCAGCTGCACAGAAGCAATAATACCATACAAAAATGCATTTCTTATATCATAAAGGGTATAAAAAGTTTATTGATACGTAAGTTTTCTTCTTTTTTCACTTCTTGCTCCTTCAAATTCCTACAATTTGACTACGAATCACCCAAGATTATTCATAGTAGTACCATGTGACCGATACTAATGGCTACTTGCGTATTTCAAAAATCAGTACTGTTCCTTGATCCCTGTTATACGATGAACACACAATGGAGAAACTCTTTTTGTTTGTGTTTAGGAGGAAGCTTCATCGTATACAAGCGCTCATTGAATTGTTTAGGAGAATTCTCTTCCAAAAACAAGCATTGAATCACTGCCCACTTTTCCATTTTTCCAAACTCAGCGGAAACGCTTTCTTCAACAGCGCCAAGATCAAACATACTTAATCATAAAGTACATTGTATGGTATAATTTATGGAATACCATATAGCAAAGGGCCTCCATGGATTTATATGCACATGCGTGTTCGTTTGTCTTAATTTTCCATGACTATTCTGCATGAATTTGAAGTTGTAGATAATTTCGTCTATCTTGGAACCAGCGTAAACACCACCAACAATGTCAGCCTAGAAATCCAACGCAGGATAACTCTTGCCAA